TGTGTCCATCTATGCTGTGTATTTTTTATAAACTGGTAGAAGGATCTAGAGGCTTAATCAAATTCAGATTCCTCTTCCTTCTTTATCCTTCCCTGTCCTTCTTTCCTTCTGTTCTTCCTCCTCTTTCTTTTCCTCCCTTCATTCTTTCCATCTTTCTTCTTACTATATAAGTGGTATTTCTTCTTCCTTCAGGAGACATATAATATGTGGTTGTTTTGCTTTGTTTGATACTGTCAGCTATTATGCCTAGATACTTTAATTCATTAGGAGTTGGAAAGTATGATAGTTTGTCATTTTATTTCGATTTATTATCTGGAATACTTCTATAAAGAAAAACTTCCCCTCATCTACTATTTGTTTGGCTAATTGTACAGTATGTATAAAAAAGTTTGGAAAAATGCTTGATTCTGTCTCAGTTTCTGAGTTTATTTATTTATTTAATTGCAGTAACTTTGGATTATAACATTATATAGCCTTTGGATGTATATCATAATATATTTTGAATTCTGTGTAGATTACATCATATTCACCACCCAAAAACTAATTATAGTCCATCCCCTCACATGTGAGCCTAATCACTCCTTTTGCCCTCCTCCCTTCCCCTATGGTAACCACCAATCTAATCTCCAGTGCTATGTGTTCGTTTGTCATTGTTCTTATCTTCTACTTATGAGTGAGATTATACGGTATTTGACTTTCTCCCTCTGACTTATTTCACTCAGCATAATGCCCTCAAGGTCCATCCATGTTGTCACAAATGGCTGGATTTCATCATTTCTTATGGCTGAGTAGTAGTCCATCGTGTATAAATACCACATCTTTATCTATTCGTTCCTTGATGGGCACCTAGGTTCCTTCCAAGTCTTGGCTATTGTGTAGAATGCTGCAATGAACATAGGGGTGCAAGTATCTTTATGCCTTTGCATTTTCAAGTTCTTTGGATAAATACCCAGCAGTGGGATAGCTGGAACATATGGTAGATGTATTCTTAATTTTATGGGGAAACTCCATACTGCTTTCCTTAGTGGCTGCACCAGTTTGCACTCCCACCAGCAGTGTACCAGGGCTCCCTTCTCTCCACCTCCTCTCCAACATTTGTTGTTTCCTGTCTTGTTAATTATAGCCATTCTGAGCGGAGTGAGGTGATCCTTCATTGTAGTTTTGATTTGCATTTCCCTCATAGCTAATGATGTTGAGCATCTTTTCATATGCCTGTTGGCCATCCATATATCTTCTTTGGAGAAATCTCTATTCAGATCCTTTGCCCATTTTTTAATTGAATTGTTGTTTTTTTGTTGTTGAGCTGTATGAGTTCTTTGTATATTTTGGATCTTAACCCCTTATCTGATATATGATTTGCAAATATCTTCTCCCAATTGTTAGGTTGTCTTTTCGTTTTGTTGATGGTTTCCTTTGCTGTGCAGAAGCTTTTTAGTTTTATGTAGTCCCATTTGTTCACTTTTTCTTTTGTTTCGCTTGCCCAGTGAGATATGGTACTTGAAAATATGCTGCTAAGACTGATGTCAAAGAGCGTACTGCCTAGGTTTTCTTCTAGAAGTTTCATGGTTTCAGGTCTTACATTCAAATCTTTAATCCATTTTGAGTTGATTTTTTGCATGGTGTAAGGTAATAGTCTACTTTCATTCTTTTGCATGTGGCTGTCCACTTTTCCCAACGCCATTTATTGAAGAGACTTTCCTTTCTCCATCGTATGATCTTGGCTCCCTTGTCGAATATTAGCTGTCCATAAATGTGTTGGTTTATTTCTGGGCTCTCAATTCTGTTCCATTGATCTGTGTGTCTGTTTTTGTGCCAGTACCATGCTGTTTTGGTAACTATGGCTTTGTAGTATATTTTGAAATCTGGGAATATGATGCCTCCAGCTTTGTTCTTTTTTCTCAGGAATCCTTTGGCTACTCGGGGTCTTTTGTTGTTCCATATAAATTTTAGGATTGTTTGTTCTATTTCTGTGAACAATGTTGTTGGAACTTTGATAGGGATTGCATTGAATCTATAGATTGTTTTAGGAAGTATAGACATTTTAACAATGTTAATTCTTCCAATCCAAGAGCATGGAATATCTTTCCATTTCTTTGTGTCTTCTTCGGTTTCTTTCAACAATGTTTTATAGTTTTCGGTGTACAGACTTTTCACCCCTTTGGTTAAGTTTATTCCTAGGTATTTTATTCTTTTTGTTGCAATTGTAGTTTCTGAGTTTTGAATGGTCGGAATTGTTGGGGAAATTTTGATACATTTATGAAAAGCACCTGGAAAATGTAGAATTAGTTACAAACTAAATCCTAAACATGTGTTGATAAACTAAAAAAGAGGGAAAATAATTGGTATTGAAGGAATATGGAACAGTTCTAATGGCAGTAGTTTTTTAAAAACATCACCGTGTGCTACTTTGAGAAGTATATCTTCTACAAGACATTATGTCGTTAGGCATTTAGTGAACCCTTAGGTATACAATGGTTAAGAGCATGGGCTCTGAAGCCAGAGTTCTGTATGCAAATTTTGGTTCTTTACTTGCCAGTGTAACTTTGGGCAAGTTACTCACTGTCTGTGTGCCTCAATTTTCCCGTCTGTTAAATCAGGACAATAGTAGGCCCTCCGTCCTGGGGCTCCTGTTGAGGACTGAATGAGTTCATCCGTTAGCCACTGAGAGCAGAGCCTGGAACACAGTAAACTCTCAGGAAATGTTAACTCTGGCTGTTGTCAGTGTTTTTCTTTGCTCTTACAGCAGAAAGAAAGGAGGGAGGGAACTTAATGCTTATTTTTATCCATATTACAGAATCTTACTTTTGGTATAAATATTTTCTCATCCACTTCATATGGTCTGGCCTTTTTAAAGTCACATTTGTAACCTCTGCTAAATTGAAGTGTTCTAGGCATTGCACATCAACAGTTGGTAAAATCATAAAAAGAGAGACAACTGAATATTTTATGTCTCTGCCTTATATCCCTCTGTTATACAACTAAGTAGTTTGAAAGGTCATTTATATATGTGTTTGCTATTGAACTGTAAGCTTTTGAGGGGAGAGACTTCCTTTATAATATTGTGTCTTAATGTAGTACTTGGTATTACTTATGAGATCTGAGCCCCTAATATTTGTTCCATTAACTATACTAACATCTCATTTGTCAGATTTGCCTAGTGAATTTCCTCACTATTTAACTACATGTGTTAAAGTAGAATCCTTTAAATATTATGATTTTATTTATTTATTTTTGAACTATTAGGATCGTAATTTTTCTTACAGGCATCAAGTACTTTCCAGCATTCTTAAACAGAATTACTCATTACTATGCATAGTATTTATTTGGGTTGTAACAAAGTGTATCCTTGGAGGCTATTGATATATGCATGGTTTTATGGTTCAGTATCAAATATTTTCGGGACACCTTATGAAATTTTTTGTTGCACTTATGTCTTATTTTTCTCGTTATTATAACCTACCAATTTATTTCTGCTATTGTTTCTTTCTGCTACCTCCATCAATCCTAGCTCTCCAAATTCAAATTTAATGCTTCTAAGCAATGCTTCTGACCTGCTGTGGATTAATTTGATTACCTACTTCATTAGAACTTTTTCTAAAATAAGATTTAAAAAGATCCAAGCCGAGCTTGAGGGCATCTTCTCAGAGTAAAATGAAGAAGTTTAGAACATAAACTGTGTGACATCTGTTTAACTAGTCATCTAACTTCTAAACAAATTTATTTTATTGAGGCTACATTGGTTTGTAACATTGTGTAAATTTCAGGTGTACGTCATTATATTTTGACTTCTGTGTAGACTACATTGTGTTCACCACCAAAAGTCTAGCTTCCATCTGTCACCATATCTATGTGCCCCGTTACCTCTTTCGCCCTCCCCCCATTCCCCTTCCCCTCTGGTATCTGTATCTGTTCTCTGTATCTCTGTGTGTGTTGGTTGGTTTATCTTTTACATATGAGTGAAGTCATATGGTAATTGTCTTTCTCCATCTGACTTATTTTGCTTAGCATAATACCCTCAAAGTCCATCTATGTTGTCAAAAATGGCATAATTTCATTTGTTTTTTAGCTGTATAACTTTTTAATTTACTTGATGACATTGTTGAGATTGTCACAGACGTGTGGCCTCTAGGCAAGTGAGATTTTATTATATTAGGATCTGAATAGAAGAATGAAATGCTGATCTTCTGTTTTTCCATACTGTCAACTTACAAGAATTGGAATTCAGATTCAGATCTGCAGTACTCCAAAGTCCATTTTCTTTGCTATTAGACTCCTGTGACAAAGAAATCAACACTGTTAATTATTACAGTTCTTTAGGATGATATGGAATTAATAATAGTTTTTGATTTAAAACATAAACTCCTTGTCCTTATCTTATAATTGGCATTTTTCTTTATCTTAGCTTTCAAAAATTTTTCACACATATGGATGCTTCAAAGATCTAATGAATAGGTGCATATTCAAAATGCATTTTACAAGACTGTATGTTACATATAGGTCATTTAGTAACATGTGATTTGAATATGGGTCTATATTTAAAAAACCCCAGCTACTATATTTATTTATAGGCCTTGAACTGAATATACAAGTTCAACTACATAAAGGAAATAATTGAATATGCCTATTTTACTTACAGTTTGTAAAATGCTAGAAAATATTAAAAAGATGCAAAATAAAGTACTTTTGAGGCATTCGCAGTTAGACATGGACTCAAATCCTACTTTAAGTCTTAGAATCTTAGTTTGTCCAATACTTAGCAGAGTTACTGCCAGGATTCAATCGGATGGCATGTGAACGTGCCTCTCGCAGTGTTTGACCCTGCCTGATCTCTTTCCTCTTTATCTTTTACATCCATATAATTTTGATTCTAAATAAAAAGAGAAGAAAAAGTATAAATAAAACAGAGAAAAATGTATTCATTGAGCAGAAGCAGCTATTTCTTGCCTGCTGAGCTTCACAATGAATGATATTTACCTTTATTCATTTATTTTTATGTGCAGGGCATCTCTAATAGAGCTTTCATTGGACTGAAGTGGAAACATAAGAATTGGAGCATATTTTCATTTTCAAGGTGAGTTCATTTGTAGAAAATTAGTATATTCAAACCAGACTGCTGTTTCTTAGGAAATGTTGTCATTTGCCTGTGCTCAGAGAAATGTCACAATTATACATGAAATGCAGTCAGCATGGAATGATGGCGAGGGGCCCAGGCTGAGTCTGGAGCTCGCCCAACGCCCGGCTCTGCTGCAGGTGCCCTCGGTGTGGTGGCGCTGGTTACTTGACTTCATTGTGTCAATTTGTCTACTTTTTAGATAGGAGTGATATGGCTCTTGGCTCTGCTTACCTTCCAGGTTACATGTTGTGAGAATAAATTGAGATCATGGATATGAAAGTGTTTCATTAAGAAAAACATACAGTAGAGGTATTAAGATTGTGAACTGTCACTGAATTAAATGGGAATTAACAGTTACAGGCAGAGAATCTTTTTAAGTATGACATTTTTTAATGTTATTGCAGCCTAATACCCTGGAACAGTAGTAAGACAGGGCCAGCTTATATATTGTTTTGGAAAAAACTGGCAAGCAAAAAAGAATAAGAAGAAGTGGTTGAGGAAAGAAAACAAAACCAAACCCATCAGATGGTCTTGAAGGCATTGAAATTTTTAGAACTACAAATTTCTTTACTTATTAGGGAATTTTTGAAGGTTATTAATCTACGGATTACTAAAAGTGTATTTTCCATTAGAAATCTGGTTACATTATTTTCAGTATTTTTACAATTCAGTACTTTACATTCTTGCTGTGGGAAAAAAATCTAGTTCTGATTTTTTCCTTCTCTAGAGTTTTACCCATTTGTCTGTGTGCTTTGATGTGTGTGGTATGATGCTTAGTAAAACTGAATGGTGTTTCTTCTAACTCCGTTGAGTTTTTTGGTTTTCTTTTTAACTTCCTTTATTTCTCTCATTATTCTTCAACTCACCCAGCATTTAACTGTCTTCTCTCTGTTTGGGCTGAGGTTTTTCCTTGTCTCTTATTCTTGGTATCCCAAATTGTATACCTAGGGTTTTTAAAGGTGCCAGGATATGCCAGGATACTGTTTAGCAAATGTGATTACTGTATTTCTTTCTAGTAACTATGTTTGGAAAGTATCTACCTATATCCTCGGAGAGAAATACTGGTCAGATGGTAATAAAATGACTATCTTTGCGTACCCTGGTGTTTAGATATTATCTTATTCTGGTGTGGTGGTCCTTACTGTATAACTAGATAATTTGGTCATCTTTTGTCTAATGTTGCAACTGCTGACATCTCTGTGTTTTAGTCTAGAAAAAAATGTTATATTTTCCTCACACAATTTACTTCTTCAGTCCCTTGCTCAGTGACTGAGGGGGCTGTGTTCAGGGCCCTTCACAGTGATGAGCGAGCTGTCCTTTAATCTCCAGTGTTGGCTCAATTGTTTTAATCTTCCTACTGCCACTTTACCCTCTAAGTTACTGCTTGGCTGAGTCATCTAGCAACTACTTTGGTGTTCTCTTTATACAATTGCAAATCATGTTCTTTTGTATCTTTAAGAAATGTTGTTTCTTACTTAGTAAACAGGAGGCTTATTTAGTTTCACTTAGAAGTCATTTCTTTGGTTTCCCCAAAAAGTAATTGACCAGGCCAAAGAAATACAGTTTCAGGAGGCTTTTACTAATTCTGTTTTTTTTTTTTTAGATAGTGAGTTTAGGATGTATCAGAAAGGCCTGGATTCATAGTCTTCACCATCTAAAACCTGTAAAAATTTTGGGCATGCATCCTTTCTGAGCCTCAGACTTCGTAGTTGTAAAAATGGGTGTGGTGTTACCTATATCATAGAATTGTTAGGATTAAATGAGATAGCATATCGGAAGTGGCTAGGACAGGATGGAGCACAAATGTGAGCTTGGGTAATTATCGTCAATGCTGATTTCTCCTCCTCATGTTGTCATTACTGTCATGATTAAGTGGTAAAGCCCAAAGGGAGTTTCGTACAGGTGAGCTCAGAACAGAATGCAGCGCTGATGAAGGTCCCTTGTTGCTTCAGTAGATCACCTTGAGAAATTGTGTGTAGTTGTGATTTCTTGGATGCACCACTCATCTTTGTTAAGATGAGAAAGTCCAGGCCTAGATAAGGGTCAACATACCCAACTGAGATTACTACAGACTCATGGAAATGGGTTAATTGGTCCCTCATGAACTGTTTCAGGAAATAGCATTCGAGTTTTATGAAATATACAGTTTAACTTTAGACTTTGCAAAAACAGTGACAAAAAGTATTTAAAAAAATCCGTCTTTTCTGTGTGTGTTTCTGTTTTATGGCTAAGATGAAAAAATTCTCACCTGAAATCAGATTTTAAAGAACAGACATATAGTGATTAATCGTCCAGCTTCCTTTTGCCCGCACACAGACACACTGCATTTTCTCTTTCATTTCAGAGTCTGAGCGTGCAGCTGTGGGGAGGCGATAACAGCACAGCAAATGGCTTCTTGCTGTCAGTTTGGGGATGATTGAAATTACTGACTCTTATGTGAAAACTGAATAAGATCTTTTTATGCGAGAATACTAGAAAAAATATGTTTCTATTCAGAAAATACTGTAGCTCTTTGAATCTTTAGCGTGAAGTTCACATGAACTGAAAAAAAGCCCTGAATGAATGAAACATTTAAAATAGTGGAAAGCTTATTTTAAAGTTTTATATTCTGAATTTAACTCTTCAAAGTACTTTGAAAGGATAATAAACATTTCCAAGATGACAAGGCTTCTGTTTAGGGGGTTTGATTAAATCAGTGAAAACCTTGGATAACTGTTGCCCAGAACATTTTGATTATTCTGTCCAAAAAGGATTTATTTCCATGTCATATAAAGACATGCCTTTAAGATACTATGAGATGTATTGTTGACTGAAATTTTTGCCTGAGATGCATTTCTGAAATTAGTAAATGGAAAATTTTAAATGTCATATGGAAGCCTGTCATCTGTGAATCTTTGTTTTTTTTTTGTGAGGAAGATTTGCCCTGAGCTAGCATCTGTACCAGTCTTCCTCTGTTTTGTATGTGGGATGCCTTCACAGCATGGCTGATGAGTGGAGTAGGTCCATGCCTGAGATCTGAACCTGCGAACTTGGGCCATGGAAGCTGGGCACTCAGAACTTGAACCACTCGGCCATGGGCCAGCCCCCATGTGAATCCACTTTTAAGGCAGTATGCAACAAGTAACAGATCTTTTGTGTTATTGAAGATTTTCTTATTTACATATAGATAAGGGAGGTCATACATTTCTCTCTTTTTTTAGTTAGATGGGAGGTGCAGTTATTTTCTGAGGAGGGGTGAAGGAAAAGAGGGGCTGTCCTGTAACTTGAGAACATGGTTATTGTGGGGAATATGTTGTGAAACCCACAAGAAGTAAAGCGTTAATAAGCAGCAGTCAGAGACCAACTAATCCTGATATAAATGTCTGTGTGCCCAACTGTCGTTTGTGATTCTCCTTAATAACATAGGAAGCAAATGTAGAGAAGGCCAGAGTAAAGATAAGGTCCCTACCCTCAAAAGGTTCACAGTTTCATTGACCAATTAGAATTATCTTAAAGCCCCTTAGTGTCTGCGCTCTCTGCAGACACCCACAGTTTAGTTCTAGTGCGTCTGTTGAATCTTTATTTCCAGATTATCTTCAAGCATGTAGCTCAGTGCTTGGAATATATATTGGTTAAATTAATCATTGGTGTGGAATCCACTGCTAAAGGGAAAAGCTGTGCTTTTATTCTTCTTATAGTGATTAACAGCACAGCTCTTACCTGTAGAGGACTTACATTGGTCTTCTCTTCAGAAACCATGTAAACAATAAGGGAGTGTAGAGTGAAATATTTGAAGTGTTGGAAATCCAAAATCACCAACCTAGAATTCTGTATCCAGCAAAATTATCATTCAAAATTGAAGGAGAAAAAAGAGACTTCCTCAGACAAAACAACACCAAGACAACTGACAATTTGTCGCCAGTACACTTGCCTTGAAAGAAATGTTAAAAAGAAATATGATTTGTAAATATTCCAGTCTGTGGCGTGTCTTTGTCTTCTCTTAGTTGTGTCTTTTAGCACATTTTTATTGGCTTGAATATTTTGCTACCAAAACTTGATATTGAAATATATTGTGCTTTAAATATAGTTTCTCTGAAGTGACCATTTTCAGTTAAACTTATTCAAAATCTTAGATATGTAATGTTCTTTTGTTCAAAGTAATGTTCAAAGTAAGTCACAAAGCATCAACCTTGACCTTGTATTTTCATGCGAAAGTCTGTGCTCTCCTCAAGTAGGTGTAGTGGTGTTAGGAGTAACGCCTGACCTTTCAAATTCAATTAATGACTCAGCATCCTGGAGAATGTTCCTGAGTATTGTTGCTGTGTTTTTGTAACATCCTCTGAGGTTCTTTGTCATGAGGAACAAATTACCTTTCTGTGCATCAGGAATCAATATTACTAAAAGGGCCACTGCTGTAGTTTCTTTAAGCTTCTTCCCTTGGGCTGTTATTGGTTTGGCACAGGTCACTGTGTAAATTATAACATAACATACTACCGCAGATCACTCCCTGGTTTGAAAATGGAATCTATGAATTGGCTTCTGTGTCTGTTTTAGGAGTTATTACCATGGTGATGAACAGTCTGCCTAGTTTTATGGTTGGCGTGATTCTTCCAGGTTAAGTCACCTGTGTTTTCTTACTACCAGTTGCCCACAATCTGGGCAGTGGTTAAATTTCCATCACTAAAAAGCAAGTAGTTAGAATGCAAAACTAGTGATTTCCTAGAATTAGTACATCAGCGTTTTTAGTCTTTTGATTATTTCCTTTTAGTGCTAACTAGCAGGAGCTTACTCATTTCACACAGTGTTAGACCTTTCCACTGCAATCAGAATTGGTCGGGAATTATTATCCTATACTGCAGTTGTGAATTTTTCATGATTTGTTGAAGCATTATGGGAGAGGGAGAAGAAAACTGACAAAAGCATCTTGATAAAGGAAACTGGACTTATCTATTCTTAATTTTAATGAGTCAACATTTCAC